GTTTTTGTTGTTGATTTTTTTTTCTTCTGTTGGGGGCTTCGCTCCCAGTGGAGTCTGAACTTGCGGCGATTGGGCCTGGGGAGGTGGTGATAGTTTTCAGTTTTTCAGCCCAACGCAGCCGCCGCTTCTTGGACAGCACGCAGAACCGATGGTTGAAATTCATGTATAAATTTTTCCGCTCTTTCTTTTGGAGCTGCGCCGGCCGTTGTTGCCTCACCCAGTTTTCGCGCATCGTTGCGGCTTCTTGGTGTTTGTTTTCCCTTCATGTCTTAGTCGAGTGAACTGCGCGAGAGACCCCGGAGGAAAACTTCTTTTGTTTTTTTTTTTTTTGTCTTCGCCTCCTCTTTTGCCTGTAGGCGGTGCTGGCGTGAGTGGCAATACGCGGGGATGGGCGGCCGTGGCGGCAACGAGGCGCTGGAGGGAAAAAAAAGTATGTCCGCTTCGTTGCTTTCCTTACGATGTATGCAGCAGCAACAACAAAAAAAAGGAAATAACAAAGAGTTGCCCTTCAAATATGAAGGTTGCCTGTGCTATGCAGCATGGTCACGATTTCTGTTTCTGTGCTGTGAATGTGCAGCTGAACTTCCTCGCAATGCGCCCTTTTTTCTTTTTTTTTTGCTTCTCCACTTGGTGGCGTGTGTACATCATGAATGGTGCTCCCCCGTGTGCGCGTTGCTGCTCTTCGCGCAGTAAACATACCTGCACCTGCAGACTACTTAACTACGCCTGGCGTGAGGGCCGCCCGCAAAGATGCTCCGTGGCCAGTGTAAGACGTTCTGTCAGTGTAACTATTGTAAGCAGCCGCGGGAGCAGACAGGCGCTGCTGCCGACAGCGCCAAGCTCGTTTCGGGTAATGGACGCAACAAGGATGAACTGTATCTTCGCACTCTTAACCAGAGCCTTCGGGCAAGGAGCCTGATGGCCAGCTCAAAGAATGCTCATAAATTTAAACCTGACGAGATGCTGCAAAGCACAAGAGGGGACATGGCGAGGGCCGCGCTAACTGTTCCAGTGCGACGCCGTGACCGCCTACAGGAGCTCCTCATTCTTGAGAACAAAGGGCGGATGAAAGCTGAGCGCCAGCTGCGGCGCGATCGTCGGGCGATGGGGCTTCCGGAAGACGAGGACGATACACTGCGGGAGCGCGGCGTTGGCACACGTGATGACTTCCCTGATGCAGCGCCAGAGAATGAATTGCCCGCCGCTGAGGCGGCGGTGCGGCCGGGGTGTTCGGCGGAAGAGGATTTGTGCCATGCGCTGAACACCATTAAAACTATCACAGACGAACATGCTGCGGGTGACGCGAGCAAACCGCTAACGGCGGAGGGCATCCGTCGGCTGCGTCGGCTTGTGCATGAGCAGGATGAAAAGACAAAGAGAATGATCGCCGAATGTCCACAGCAGCCCCACATGTGTGGTCACTGCTTTGCCGTCAATGCTCAGGGGAAACACCTCTGCCAGGTTCCACCGCCACACATCCTACGCGACACGCTTCTTCCCTCTATCCACGGTCAATCCAAGCGTCGCTTCAAGTACAACACGCATCCGTACGGCAGCGGCGTGGTGTGGGTGCCACTTGAGGAAGAGGCGAGGGATGAGGGCAGCAAGTACGTCATGCCCACTGCCGCCGAAGCGGCCGACGCCGCCGAGGCGGAGAAGCGGGGCAGCGCCAGGTCGGACGACGACAAGGCAGAAGCCGCGTACCAGTATCCTGGGAGCACGTACAACAAGTATCTAAACGGTGCAAAACCTGCCAAAGAAGTGACAACGAAAGAAGGAGTATTACCAGAGATGGCTGACGGTCGCGCAGGCTTGGTTGACTCGAAGAGTTTGGAAAAGGGGGGCAGCACCGGGGATGAGGCGCCACCCGCCGCTGGTAAGAGCGGGCCAGCAAAGGAGCCACCCACCTATAAAAGCTCTGCTGCGCTGTGGCGTACCACGAATCAAGATCGTGCGGCTCAAATGCAGCGGTTCCTGGAGTTTAAGAAATTACACGCCGATGCAGCTCGTGTTTATGCCGAAAGCGCAGTGAAGCGCCGCGCCGACGGTGGATTATCTCCTGCCGTTGCCGCAGTTGGCCAAAATAGTTAATGGGGTTCGCTAGCTGAGTGAAGTACGTATTTCTTTGGTGAGGTATCTGGTCCCCAGGACGGAAAGGAGAGAGTTCACCATGACATGTGATGTATAACTTTTTGTTTTCTTGTTTTTTTTTTTTGGTGTGGCCTTCCCGTTCTTTTTGCTACGTAGGGCCCAATATGTATGATGTATGAAGTATCACTCTCTCCCTTCGCAACCCACTTGCTTCTCTTTCGCGTTCCACTTGCCTTTGAGGTCTCACGCTTTTCTCTTTTATTCAAGGCACCGTGGCAATTTGACCGTTGTTGTTATTTCTCTTTCTTTTTCGCCGTGCCTGTTATTCTTTTCTTCATGGCGGTGTTGTTTATCTTGCATCGCTCGCTCATTACGACTCTTCAGCGAAAGGAGGAGGAAGCGTGGGAGGTCGAGAGCGAGCGCTGCGCGGACGAGGCTCTGCCACCCGCAGCGAGATGAAGTGGGTAGTGGAGTGCGATGCTCGGAAGCGGCAGCCGTGGGGAGAAGAAGAGGGGATAGGAAAGTGTGCAGAAAGCGGCAAAGGACAATGTGGAGAGCCCATGTGAGATGAGCGCGGTGGGATGGATGAGGTGAAGGTGCGTGGGGGAGAGTTGAAGCACGAAATGTTCATGTTCTTTTGTTTGTTTCTTTTTTTCCCCGGCACGAGGAAGAGGGGCAAAGGGCTGTTGAAGAAGAGACCTGGAAACTGGGGACAGCATCGAGGGGGAGAGCACGGAAAGGGAATCAGACGGCAGCCCCATTACAGTGGGGCACCTGCAGGCACACACGATTCTTTTGCTGCTGGTGAAGTGCCCCACCGCGGTGGGCGCCATTTCTTCTTCTTGCTGCTTCCCTTCTTCGTTCGTCGTGTCCGTACTTTGTCATGTAGTTTCTCTTCCGGTTCTTCAATCGACGGGGGGAGCCTCACGGTACGCGTTATTTCCTCGCTGCCTCCCCGCTTTGCTGCAGTCCCCTCCTCCTCTCGTTTGCTCCACCCTGCCGTGTCTCTTTTTTTTTTTGTTGTTCTTGTTCTTGGTGTTGTTGTTTTCTCCTGCACAACCAGTGGGAATTGTGTGGGTCCGCACAGTACGACGACGCGGGCGCCCACGTTTATTTCCGCCCCCGCCCAAGTCTGCCCGTACTGGTGGGCGCAATGACGATCAAGGCAAAGCCTATTGACCCTGGTCGAGCTCGGCTTGCTGCGCTGGGGCAGTGGAATCGGCAGGGCACGACGGCCTGCAGTCGCGCCCCGCCCGCAAACGGCCGAGGGAGCGGCAGTCGCGACAGCAGCATAGACAGCAGCACAAGCACAAGCTCCACCGAGGGATGTCGTACTGGCAGGAGAGGCCGTCGACCACTAGGCAATCGCAGTGCGAAAAGCGAGGGCAGCGTCCACAACGGGGCACCGGCGTTTCTAACTTCTCCACGGGCACGTGACAGCGCAAGCGACACGTCGAATAGCGATCCGGAGTTGTACCGCGCGGCTCGAGAGAGAACCGCTCGATTTTTGTACCCCAATGAACGTCCTGCTCTCAACACCAGCAGTGGGAGAAACAATGCCGTTAGAGAATTGGGTGATGGGGCGCAAAAAGAGGTGGTGAAAATATCTCTTGATGTCTCACCCCCGCGGACACCCGTGCATCGGCCTCCCCCGCAGCCGCACAGCGGCAAACAACAGACCGAGCGGGCACTTGGAAACAGTGAGACAAGTTTAGCAAGCAGTCATGGGGGCTCCTCCCCGCCTCACGTAGCTCCCCCTCTTGCTGTACAAGAGGCCCTCCAAGGGCTACAGGAGACAGCAGACAGTGCGGCACAGCACGACTTTGCCCGTCTCATGGATCTTTTTGCTGCTGATGTTGATAAAGAGCGTGAAGAAAAGCATCAGCAACTGCAAAGAGCGACGGAGAGTGAAGCCAAAAACGCAAAACCTCTTGTGGCGACTAAGATGGACACTCAGGCGCCGGGCCAAGAAGGAAGAGGCGAGGTCTCCAAGACGTACGTTGTTCCTCCAACCACATTTGATGAGTTACAGGAGCGTGCGCTCCTGCAGCTGTATGCCGCAAGCGAGGACGACAACGATAGCAAGTATTTCATCGCCACTGATCACATGGCACAGGCGTTTACCCTGGCTGCACTGGAGGCGGCACGCAAGGATATTTCAGAAGACCCTGCGGCTGCCCTCGGGGCGCCAGGGGCATCAGACGGCAGCAATGCCAGCTCTAGACCGGCTGGAACGCCACTTTCTCTCATGGAGATTGTGGCTCTTGAGCGCGCCCGCCGAAACGCCCGGGCAGGCCTCCAGAGGCGACAGGAGGAAGAGGAGGGAGTGACTCTAGATCGCAATTCAGAGGAATTGCTCAGCACGGACGCGGACGTCATTGCGGCTAAGGCGGAGGCATCCTTAAACCGTTTCCTTTTGGCTGTTCGTTGCATTGAAAGTGCGGTGCGTGATCGACGCGTCACCGATGAGTTGGGCCGCTTTTTGTTTGCCCATCATAAACCATTCCTTCAAGCAGGTTGCGGCAAGGGGTCATCGGAGGATGCGATTCGGGAGTTCCCCCACGAGGCCTTTGCGGTGTATGAGCAGTACTCCCGCTACGTGAGCAAGTTTCTCACGGACTTGCTGACCCGAAGTGTCCCAAAGTTTGACATGGAGGAATTCGTCTTGGCGCTGTTTGAGGTGAACATGGACGGCGAATACGGCGGCGCGCGGGACGAAAGCGTCTCGATGGATGTTTTGTCGTACCCTGCGTGGCGCCTTTTACTCTCCACCTCTTCCTTCAATGAGTTTTGCACCTTCATGGATGACTTCATTGCGGAGGAGTACGGTGTGGAGAAGGTGGCTTCGGACGGCGACACAGAAACCAAGCTTGGCAGTAGCGCAATGCCCTCTCGTTGCGATGAGAGTGGCGTGGTTGTGGTCGCAGGCGCACGAGGGATCCGTGCATTGCTGTCGAAGTCGAAGGCCAACATGGCGAAGGTGACGGCAGCCGCAACCGACGATGCAGACCAGCTGAGGGCTCCCGGCGAGGGCCCGCACGGCGGCACTGACGCCTCGCCCCCTCTACCTCTTCCTCGTGACGGCAGCGTCACCGCGAGCCAGGCGTCCCAGGAGCAAAGACAGCCGCAGGTGCATGAAAATTTTTCTGCAATGGGGGCCAGCGTGCGTCCTGCTTTTGTCCCAACGACGTCCTCGAATTCTAACTCTGCTTTCTCTCTCATCTCCGGCGCCCCGATTGCGGATCGTTTAAAGACCCCCTCACCGCCACCCTCGCAGCATGCAGAGCGCGGCAAAGGCAGCCTCGGCTCCGTCAACTCGTTTCCCCAGCTTCCACACTGTCGACGTCGGCCCGAGGCAGTGCCAGGGCGCAATTTGCCGCCATTGCCCGCCGTGGAAGCCACAGAAGCGGGAAAATTCTTCTCCACTGTCCCACCGAAGCTCAATGTGGGTTCCGAAGCCACTGCCCTTCTCCCGGATCGTTCCAAGACTGTGTCGCTCACAAGGGGACGCTGTGCGAGGGGCGACCACTCCGGCGGAGAGCCCACTTCTTTTCACGAGAGTGCGCCTTCTTCCTCGACCGGCGTTAGCTCTGGTCGCAGGAAAAAAAGCAAGGACAGTAGGGGGTGTAGCGGCGCACAGACGGGCGCTGGCGCTAGGGGCATAACAACGGCAAAAAACCCACGAGGGAAGAAGACGCCGTCAGTTCCACGTCGCTGATCTGCTTGTGTTTTACTGCATTGAGCTTCCACCGCAGGAGGCGCATTCTTCTGCTGGACTGCCCGCTGCCGCTTGGTGGCGTCATCGCTGCCCTTAATGTGTATCTGGCATCTGGGTGAGGCGGAGGAAAACACTGGCGGCGAAGCTGCGCAGTCGATGCAACCTCTGTTTGTGTTTATTATTGAGTTTCTTCTAGTAATGAGGGGATAGATGGCTTTGTGCCCTTTTCGCACCCTCTCGCGCTTTGTCTGTCTCTCTCTCTCCGTGTCTGTGTGTATATGTGTGTTGTCACCGTAGTCTGCATGTTCCTCCCTCCTTTGTTTTTGTTGTTTTTGGCTTTTTTTTCTTTCGTTTATTGGGTTTTATGCTGCCTCTGCCTCACAAACATAACCGCCCCAACAAAACAAAAGAGACAGACAACTGAAAAGCGCAGGGGTTGTCAATAGGCGCACTGCGGTGGAGAAGGGCGGCTGCTGGCCCTCGTATTGTCTCAGTCACGCTTGAGTAAACCGCACAGGGCAGGGAAGGACTTTAGCTCCTAGCGAGGCACATGATGAAGAGCAGAGAGGAGGCGTCCCTCGCTTCAACATGCCGCTCGCATCAGAGTAGTTTAGAACCACGTGGTCCGCCATCTTTTGGCCACGCGCACTGCTTAAGTGTACCCATGAAGAGCGAAGAGTTTGTCGCAAATCCATTGCCGCCTCAAGCCCAAAACAAGAATCGATCCCGCAGGTCTTATATGTGTCTTTTTGTTATTTTTATCCTATCTTTTGCGGGGTGGTGGTGGATGAGTGTCGCGGACGAGGCGTCTTCACCGCCTCTCTCGGCGCCGCCTGCCGGGGAGGATGTGGTGCTCCCCGTTTGGGCGCGGTGTCTTGTGTCAGTGCAATGCATGCTTCGTGTGCCCAGGCAATTGTGGGTCTGCACGTGGGCCCGTGTTTTCCAGCTCCCAGGTTTCTCGTCGCTGCGGCAGCAGTTGGACGCTGGCGGCGGATTTTTACTGAATGACCCACCTCGGGCGCTCTCGCTTGTGTCTCGTGCTGCCAAGGCTGCGTGGACACACGTGCACCGTTGTGCGAGGGATGAACTGTGGCCAGGCGTCCGTGCTCGCGCAGGGCGTCTTCTTCCGGCGCTGAGGCGGGCAGCCCAATTTGTGCGGAGTAAGGCCTTGGACGGGGTGCGGTGGGTGTATGTTTATTCCGGCTCGCTGGGCGTGAGGGCGACACCGCAGTGCCGAGGGAAGACCAACTGCACACGTGGGGCCACAGCCGCTACGGCTCCCACGCCATCAGCGGCGTCACCGTCATTGGCAAATAGCAAAATCCGCGGCACTGTCCCTACCCACGCGCCAACGCGGTCGACGAAGACGTCTGGCGTCCGAGCTTGGCTGGGGAATATGTTCACGTTTTTCTTTTCACCCAAGCAAGAGGTGACGCGTTCACCTCAGCCCTCTTTTCGTCCTGCTGAGGCGCGCCGCAGCAGCTCTGGCGTCCCACGCCGTGCACCTCCGCCAGCTGGGGGACCCTCCGCGACGAAACAGCCTCACCCATCGGCCAGCGAAGCCCTACAAGAGGGCAGAAGGCAGGAGCAAACGGCATCCATCTTTGAGAAGGTGTCCCATCTGCTGCGGTGGCTCGCCGGTGGTTCGCCCCCGAGGGTGTCGGAGTCTGCCGGGGACCCTGCCTATCGAAAAAGAGATGGAAACAAGAAGCAGCGCAAGGGAACACATAAGGAGGGCTCTGGCCGTCCCTCTTGGCTGTCGGCGGCGCGCAACGTGCTCGGGCGGCCGTCCTCCAAAGCTCCTCCAGCGGCAGTAGAAGAAACGCGCGATGACAGCAAAAGGGAATCGCTTGAGGACGCGAAGGCGGATCTCCCAGCTGAAAATAAGGACACAGCCATCGTGGATGCCGCTGAGGCTCAGGCTGTGTCGCGGCATCACGTTGAGTTCGCGCTCGCTGCATCCGGCGAGCAGCCGCACGACGTTGAGGATGCGCCAGGGACACAATTCCCGTCGAAAGCCATGCGAGATGCATTTGTAAGCGATGTCGCGCACATTCTACCTTTTACTGCCTTCACACCCATCACCGATGTTAGGATGCAGCGTCAGGGAAGCACGCTTCATGTGCGCTTTGATGCACTTCAAACGTCCGAGGTTAACTCCTGGACGAAAAGGGAGATTGACGCCGCGTTAAAACGCTACACTTTTCCTCGTCTGCGTGCGGTCAGCAAAATTCAAATTGCAGCAGGCGATTTGGGAACGGGGAGGCGGAGTGACAAATTTATTGAAAACGGAAAGTCCAGCGGAAAAGCCCGCCTAGGAGTTGCCCAAGACACTACAAGTGCGACGGAGGAAGGCCACTGTCAGAACAACATGGGAAAAAACCCACAGGAACAAATTCCAGGGGCGGAAGCAGAAAAAAAACCGTCACCGGGATCACTTCCTGGGGATTCGCAGGAGCCAGTTCATGCAGAGACGCAGGAGCCAGTCCATGCAGAGACACAGGAGCCAGTTCATGCAGAGACGCAGGAACCAGTCCATGCAGAGACGCAGAAGCCAGTTCATGCAGAGACGCAGGAACCAGTTCATGCAGAGACACAGGAGCCAGTTCATGCAGAGACGCAGGACCAGTCCATGCAGAGA